ATAGAACGAGAGGGAGACAGAGAGCTTGGGGTGGGGGTGGGGATGGAGGTGTAGTCAGAGATGGGGTCTAACGCTTATTGATTCATTCAATGTTCGGATTAAACATATGTGTGTGCCCTAACAGCCATTATATATATCTATACACATATGTATATGCATATTTATCTAGACAAAGACAGATATAAAGAGATATATATAGAGAGAGAGAGAGAGAGATATTGGCTGAATATAGTACAGCACTCAATGCTCACCTGCTTGAACGGACGCATGCCGCCGTTGATCCTCAGGGAATCGGCCGCAATGCCCGCAATGCCATCCTGTGTGCTCTCCCGCAGCTGCTTCAGCGACACGTTCGGCACGGTGTGCGAATGGCCGCAGGAGCTGTGCGTGCCGCAGCAAATCGCCGTGCTGCTCGATTCCGGCTGTGAGCTTTGCCTAATTATCCGGGAGCCGTTCGTTGGCGATGAGGTAATCAAAACGGGCGGCACCTGCGGCTGTTGATAGTGATGCAGTTGCAATTGCTGCTGATGCAGCAGCAATTGTTGTTGCTGTTGCTGTTGTTGCTGCTGCTGTTGTTGTTGCTGCTGCTGCTGCTGTTGCAGCGTTGAGTTTGATATGCATATGGCCATGGAGCTGCTTAGATTGATTGGCTGATAGGCACTTTTGACGCTATCTCGCGATGCGGATCTATCGATTTGCGCCCCCGTCGAGATGGGCGTGGTCGAGGCACGACGACTGCAATTGCGACAGGCGCGACATCGACTCGGCGCACTCGGCGGTATGCTCGACGATAGATTCTGATATGAGGATGTGCCCAGATTGGGATGGCTCGAGCCAGTGCCGCTGCCTAAATTCATAATTGATATGGTCGGTTTCTGTTGTTGTTGTTGTTGTTCGATTGATTGCTGGTGCTGCTGCTGCTGTTGCTGCTGCTGCTGCTGTTTGGTCTGCTGCGATGTGCCAGCCACACTGGTCGTTGCCGATATTGTTGTGGTCGTTGATGTGTTCTGTGTTAGTTCTTGGTCCTCTTCGTGTACCTCAATGTCGGGCACATTGGTCGTGCATGGAGCCTGCCGGCCCAGCCCCTGTTCGATGTCCTCGAGATGGCCAATGCAACCGCCGCGCATACTCTCCTCGGAGCCCATGCGCAGCTGTTGCGATTGCTGCGGACTGGTTAGATATGTGGAAGTTCGATCCTGACGCATCAGCGTCGGTTTGCCACCGGACGTGGAAGCCATATTGTTTGTGGTTGGTCCATTCGCCGAGCTGCTCTTCACCTGCCGCAGCAGCGCGGTCCGTCCGCCCCCCTTTGTGGCATTCGATACGAGCAGGGAGTCCGTCTCCTCGGAGCTAACATAGCCCGAGTTCGTATTATCGTTTAGCTTTTGAATTGACATCTGCAAAGGAGCAAAGAAAAGCCATTTATTGATTGTATGCATATGTATGATACGAATACCCTGTAATATTAAAAATCATTATGCAAGGAAAAGAGTTACCTAAGATCTACATTCCCCATATCTTGAATTAACGTACTCATAATCATTAAATTTGGTACTCCAAATATTATATGGTTGACGTGCAGCTCGACTAGCAAATACCCTGTAGGCAACAGCGCAAGCTGTGTGACACGTGAGCCTAGAGCACTTCCAGCTCTTTTCAAAAGGTCAACTTGAATTGCCTGAGATCTAAAGTGTTGCTCGACTAACAGCTACCCTGTACTTGACACAAAGATTAAAAATGAATATATGAAGCTTAATAGCCGTGAACTACAAGCTTCCTGTTGATCTTTAAGCTACATTTTAGAAGTGTGTACTCAAAATAAATACACTAAAAATACCCTGTAAATAATAATTATTCTATATATAACATAACACTTCAAAATTTAAACAGGATTTAAATTTTGAGCGCTTTGATTATGCTCTAAACATTTCTTGAAGAAAACTCGACTAGCAGATACCCTGTAAACAACAAGATACGAAAATAACATATGTGCATAAGGTTTTATTATAAACAATGTTTGAGTTGATCTAGTTTGCTCTTTAGAGCATTTCTCACAATAAGCTCGGCTAACAAATACCCTGTATATGTGATCGATGTGATCCTTAAACAGTATAAAGTCGCAAATACCCTGTAAACAACAACAACACAACAATAAGAACAGTGTATGCAGATGCATGCATAGTTAATAGTCAAACAAAACTAAATAACTCTTTTAAACAATTATATGGTTAAACTCGACTAACAAATACCCTTTAAGCTCAACTCCACTCTTTAAACGTCTTATAATGCTCAGGTCTTTCACCCAATATATTCTTAATGGAGCTAAAGCTTTCTACTTAGGAACTTTGAGGAGATAAAAGCGCTGGCCAGAATTAGACAAAGCTTTCGTAAAGTTTAAGAAACAGCCAAGAGCAAAGAGATAACGGCAAACAGTTTTTAGATACGAACGTGAAGCACGTGTACAAAAATAAGCCTAGCTAGACGTACAGGTATGCAAGGGCAGTTGGTCAGGTGTGTGTGTGTGTGTGGTGTGTCTATGTATTTGTGTGTGGGCTTATATGTATGTTTGCTTAGCTAAGGCCGCTGAGCTGGAAAACTTGATGACCGCACACCTACAGGATGGCAAACATTTAAATGCAAACATGAACTCACGCACATGAGCTTAAGCAATGTGTGTGTGTGTGTGTGTGTGTGTGTGTGTGTGCTAGGCATTTCTATATTTGATATGCAAGCTATGACGGGTTGGCTGGATTGGTTAGTCGCTTGGCTGACTGCGGCTCAGGGCCCACAAATTGACAGTTCGATGTTGTCGATAGGGCGGAAGTGGTTTAAATCGTTCAGGGGGCTCACGTGGTCCAGGTGGTTCAGGTGGTTCGAAGGGTTTCAGCTAGTTCAGGTGGTTTTATTTACTTTATTTTTATTTTATTTTTTATATTGATGCCACGAAAAACTAATTTGAAACGAGTTTCAAATCAATCTAACCATAAAAAAAAGAAAATCAATAGTTTAGCTATAAATACAAGAACAACAACATTGGGCGGCCCATAATTTTCGGCTATAATACCCTATAAAAGGCGCTTAAAGAGGCATAATTAAGCACACACATACACCTTGATATATGTATGTACATTAATACTCCCAGCTATTAAGCCATCACACGTATAATTTAGTTGTTCACCAGCGTCGTTTAAATTTAATTATAGTTAATTTTGTTTCCTCTTTATTTATTTTATATTTTTTGTTTTCGTTTTCGTATTTTTTTTTATGTAAATCGATATTTGGAAATGTGAGGTGTTTGTTGATGAGGCACGGTAACATTTATATGTGGATTATATTTTATTCTCTTTCATATTAAATCGATAACTTGAGCAGCTCCCATTCATAAATATATTATATATCTCCCATAATCGATAAATATATTATATATTTAATGAATATGATCATTATGCTCCCTGTTATAGTCGAACAAGTCAATAAATCGATAACAAATATATTCCCTATGTTATCAGTAACTGTAATAATATACAGTACAATCGGAATATATGTAACTTATTAACGGAATCATCATCAAATTCGATAAATGTTTATTTAAACGTAATCGATAGATACTATCGATCACTGATATCGATCACTGTAATCGTAATATTAATACTGTAATCGTCATTAAAAGCGTGTTATCATAATTATTATTATCGATAAGTGTAATCGTATTCAATTTTATAGATAACAGTTATGATTATTCGTGTAATCGATTACAGTAATAGTGTAATCGACTGCTGTAATTCATATAAGTAAACCAGACTCGATAGACTCCAAACTTAATGAGCTTAACTAGGGAAGTATTTCATATATATTTTGAAATACATTTCAGATGGAGGCTATGGGGGCGGTACCTGTACATACATATGTACATATGTATATGTAGCTTTAAACCTCTTTATTTGCCATTGTGCTTATTAGTGTTGCCTTGAGCAATTGTACCGTTTCGACTCGGGGAATTGACTGGTGGCAGTAACAGCAATGGCGACGCCAACGGTAACGGCAACGGCAACGGCAACGGCAAGGGCAACGGCAATGGCAATGGCAACAATAACAGTAGCACAATTACAGTAACAGTGACACTGAGGACATGAGTCTTGGGACATGAGCGACACGAAATATAAAAAGTCGAAACACCTGCGCAGACCAACCAAACCAAACTGAACCCACACCAAGCCCAGGCCCAACCACAACCACACCCAGCCCCAACCCCGGCCTCTGCCCCTGCTCCAGTCCCAGTCCCAGTCCCAGCCATGCCTACGACAGTCAGTCACACGTTGGCATGGCGAGCGTGCCGCTAATAATAGTCGCCGCCCAATTGAACTCCCAAGCTCTAATTCGCTCCCAGTTGCCCGCTCCCTTGAGCTTCGTAGCGAGTCAATCCATTGTCTGACAATTGTGGCAACAAATTGGGTTAAAATTTTTTGCTAACCAACACTGGCCGTCAGTGTTGCCAGTGTGTACCATAGTGCACCTGCATCTGGCCTTAGAGAGGTAAATTCAATTTCCCAAACTTCAATACGAAAACAAATTAAAGCTACGATGAGTATCAACAGCCGCACAATACCCGTTCACAGATGAGAAAAGAAAAGAGATAGATATAGAGATAGATATAGATATAGATATAGATATAGATATACCCGCTTACACTTTAACAAACAGGTATATAGATTATATAGAGAGTGAAAAGTACGAGTCATTAAAATTCTTGGCTGTGGCACGGTTGGTCTCATATTGATTGCATTGTCGGTTAAATTATGACAGGTCGAACGGTGGAGCTGTTGGGGGCAATGGATGGCTTGGGGTTGACCAACAGAAATTAAACAATATTATTATGACAGTAAATACACACACCCACACGTCTATGTAAATAGATATACGTAATACCTTGCGGAAGCGACAGAGTTTCGGAATTTTACAATTGGCTCATTAACTGAGGACTAAGGTAAACAGAGCNAGATATAGATATAGATATAGATATAGATATAGATATAGATATAGATATAGATATAGATATAGATATAGATATAGATATAGATATAGATATAGATATAGATATAGATATAGATATAGATATAGATATAGATATAGATATAGATATAGATATAGATATAGATATAGATATAGATATAGATATAGATATACCCGCTTACACTTTAACAAACAGGTATATAGATTATATAGAGAGTGAAAAGTACGAGTCATTAAAATTCTTGGCTGTGGCACGGTTGGTCTCATATTGATTGCATTGTCGGTTAAATTATGACAGGTCGAACGGTGGAGCTGTTGGGGGCAATGGATGGCTTGGGGTTGACCAACAGAAATTAAACAATATTATTATGACAGTAAATACACACACCCACACGTCTATGTAAATAGATATACGTAATACCTTGCGGAAGCGACAGAGTTTCGGAATTTTACAATTGGCTCATTAACTGAGGACTAAGGTAAACAGAGCAATTTTCATAGGATATTTGAGAAATAATTGCAAATTACATATAGTGTTAAGGCAGACACACGATGAATCAATTCATATATGTATATGATAGTTGTTTCAGATTTACAGCTATTTCAAGAGAACTGCTAATGGCAATATATAGTTTGACATTGCTCAAGAGTCTAGAATTGCTAGAAAATTGAGTGAACGACTATGAAAAGGTAAGTATAAGTATACAGTTTAACAGACAGATACAGATACAGAAGTATATCTGAAAGGTATTTTCATTTATGGGTCCATATGTACATATGTATATAGAGGTATATAGGTACACAGTATGTATATATAAGTATACCCGCTTATCTAGGCGCATGGGTACGCATATATTTAGGTAGATAAGCACATATGTATAGAGGTACATGGGTACGTATGTATAGAGCTACATGGTGGTACATGTGTTTGCATAGGTACCTACATATGTATAGGTGTGTACATAGATATGTATCCATATACACTGATATAGAGGTATACAATGGTACATACATATGTATAGATATACATGGGTACATATGTATGTGTAAATAGGTACATATATACAAAGGTACATATATAGACACTGATACATAGGTAAATAGGTACATACTAGAGATGCGCATACATAAATGTTATATAGGTATATATGTATTGTATGGTTGCATAGGTACATAATAACATATAGGTACATATGTATATGGTACACATTTACAGATGTATACATAAGTACATATGTATGTACATACACATGTTTATATGGGCACATTTATATATGTACATAATAATATATAGGTACATATGTACATAATATATGGTACATATTATCAGATGCATACAAAAGGACATATGTATATATGTGTACCTACATACATGTATATATAGGTA